ATTCCGAAAACAATAGGAGAAATGGGGGTCTGAGCGTGGCCCGAAGGCCAGCCCACGTGTACTGGGCCTAGACAAGTTCGAAAGTGACCGCCAAGCGTCAGATAGTCACATAAACAAAGCATTACACTCCTTACCTATGTGACAGTGGACCATCTTGTTTACCTTGTAAAATATGTGTTCTATGCCAGAGTTCCACTGTCTATTCCTGGAAGCAATTGATGGTCAACAGGTGTTGCGGCCCTGAATCTGGTTGTCATACTGAATGTAACTTCAAATCCAGTTTAAGCTGCTGAAGAGACCAGAAACGGTTTCTTGTAGTACCAAATAAACTTTGAAGGCTGGCGCGGGAGGTGTGCTGAGGACGTCGTTCAAAAGAAGAGAGGGACAATGTTGTAGCGTCTCGAGACTTCTTGTAGGGTAATAAAAGACACGAAAACTAAGTATTACATTTGTAACGCTTTGTTTATGTGACTACACGATGGTAGACGAACACTTTAGAATTTGTCTGGCCCCTATCCACGTGGGCTGGCCTTCGGACCATGCCCAGGCCCGGTCAGGAGGTCTCGGGACGCTACAATCCGAAAGCCAAGTAAACAAGATAACTCACTTATGAGTGCTGAATGCCTTCTTTCACATTGCATTACGAATGCATTTAATAGCATTGAAAGAGTTTTTAACGCTAAGCTTAGGAATTCAAACAAAAAAAATAACTTTGAGAGATTATGCCTAAGGCAATAAAATAATCACTAAAACGTTACCTATAATGCTTTTATCGACTCCGTAAAGTGCGGATTTTAAGTTTCGACTTTATTTAATACAGATGAAAGTTTCAGCAAATAACTGATCACTTTATTCCGCTTATATATTTCGCTATTTAACAGTCTGACAAACTGTTTATCTCTATACTTCGACTTTAATAAATAATTTTGAAATGTGATTATTGTTTAAGTTTTTGCAACACAGCATGGGCGGTCGACACACAGTATCCTCGTGGTTACTTGCGGTGACAGTTTACGGCGGCGTGTCGGCGCCCTCATCATGGGGCGCTGATCTGCCATCCCTCATACGTTGCGTCGTTCCTTGAAGGCGCCTCTCTGGGTCTGTGGGCATGTGGACCGGTTGAAGTATGTCAAAACTTTCTGTCGCCAACATTGTTCAAACATATTTTAAGGTTTATATACCGTTCAAAGCCAGGAACCAAGTAACGCACGTCACTGGGTGCTGTTTCTTCCAGCAATAATAAGTTTCAAAGACCTTACTGGTCGCAGGTGCTGAGATGGAGAAGTCACACTAGCTTGTCCCGACCCATACTTTGCTATTTATGGGTTTACTGACTGCTTTCACATGTGAGAAGCAATACTGTAGATGGGTATCTTAGTTTAATTGCGACCAGAAATCTAGTTTATGTATTAACAAGTTTTTCTCAACTGATCATTTTCTCTTTTAGTCTCCGTGATTTACTTACGCTCTTTGTGCGAGTCTTTGCGTGTTCTTGTAAGTCGTGTTTTTATGATGACACGATGACGAGTTTGAATCGTTAAGAGATGTTATTCTCCGAGGCATTTGTCTGAAGTGCGCTAACACCCATATTATTTTTACGCGTAGGTCCCCGTCACCTCACATCTGCTGCCGTCGGTGAGTCTTGATGAAAATTTAGGGCAGATTCTGACTGTTGATGTTCCTTATGTCTGATTTTCCTC